TCTTTCTATATATATAAACCTCTGGGGCTAGCTACATTTTGTCAAACTTATTTTGTATCCCTCGTTTTGCAAATTCTTTGGGTATCAGAAGAGAAACGCTGACGCCTTCGACAGCTTCCTATGTTGTACAAGATTGACTAACTGTAGACCGCGTCAACTGTAAACTCGCCATCCAATTAGGAGCATTCCTATGTTTGATCGACGTGCGATCCTAACAGTTGTTCAGAGTCCTTGAATTATCACAGTGGGCTGCATTTTCACTATGTCATCGGTCTAATGTTCATGTCCGTCCCAGTCTACCACTAAGAAATCGAGAGTATGATCTGCGCCTCGGTAGACGCACGCTGACCAAGCCACAGGAGGGATTAACAGCACATATGCATGATATCAACTGGGGATGCAACTGCTAGACAAGAAAGAGAAAAGTGTCTCTGCAACGAATGTAGAAGATATAGTCCTACTATTAGGTACATTATACGCTGACCGATAACTCTGATAAGCTTCATTGTTTTGATAGAAGCCTACCGTGTAAGCAGATAGCAGATATTTTACATAGCCAGTGTCCGACCATGCAAGGTATTTTCCTGTCCCCAAATATCCTCAGCATGACTATTTTGTACTATATATCATCGCTACCATATCTCGAGAGATCTACGGAGTACATGTGACCGATACTTGCTACAGGTGTATATCAATGCATATCTACATATGTAGCAGATCTGTATTGCCCTTGCATTCTGCCTGCTCATACAAAATAGTATTTCTCTATGTTGCAGTATGGAGTAGCTGTTTGGTACCATCCACGATTCCAATTAGATTTAGATCTAAACCCTAATAGACCTGAGGTAAGATAAAGTAGGAGTCCAGAATACCAAAAAAGAGTCAATAGTGCCAGTTAGAATGTTCGAAGAATGTCCCCATGAAACATACAACCCTTGCAATGATAAAGTAGGGGAGTGGAGAGGGAAGTCTTGGCTGAGGTTAAAAGAGTCATCTCGCATATAATCTGCACATATCCCCAGATTTATCTAGGACGGAAATACCTAATAGACAAATACCAGGCAAATATGGGGTAATAGAAAAAGGCATCTACCTATGTTTCACGTATTTCAAGTACCTATGTGAATCCCATGATCAACAAAAGGACAACATTCCACGTATCCCTTCCATTTCAGAGTGTTGATTGGTCCAATATAAGTTGCTCAATACCTAAAGACCAATAAAGACAAATAAGAGGGAAAATCAAAGGAAACCGTGGAAATCGTAGCTCATACGATCCATGGTTGATCCACGTCTCTTCCCCGCTTTGACGCTTGGACATGGAGATCATCCCCAGATTGATATTGTCTCCAACATTTACAATTCCTATCTCTTTGGTGACATTCTCAATCTACTCTACCTCTGGACTCTCTGGACTTCATAGGATTCTGACTGGTATTTCGGCTCTTCCTTTCCTTTCTTTTGTTTATTTTTCCTTGGAAAAGATCTAGTCTGTTATTGAACCGGCACGGCGTCCGGGCTGTGACACCCACATTTAGCTTGTGATCACTGGCACTTTAGGACCAAAGCCTTTTGAGTCCAGTCTTTTATTTTTCGCTTTCGACCTTGGTCACCCATCACACCCCATCTCATCGACGCGACTTTGACCACTCGTGCAACAAAGAATCCTGGACTCGGAGATATGGCTGAAGACACGAAACTGAAGAAAAACCATATGGCGATCGTCTTGGGCATCGGACTTGGGGTAGTGCTACTCATCGTGCTTAGTTTGATGTGAGTAAGATGGATATTATTTGCATCTTATGGAATGTTATCTCTTGTGTCTCCTCCATCCCCATTCGCGCCGATACATTCCCTCCGTCGGTGTTACATATTACATAGATCGTGCTAGAACATCTTATTCTAACTATATCATCCAGTCTGACAATACTCGTCAACCGTCGGGACAGGCGGTCATTTCTGGGATCAAAGAAAAACTCCAGTGAGCGGTTGCGCAAGTTGGATAAGGTCTCGCCAACTTGCACGCTCGAGAAGTGGTGGACGGCCACAAAGGGGAATCTCGGACTATCCGAGGCCGTCGATGGACAGTTCGTTTGGTAGGTTTACCTTGCTTCGCCGGCAGTGCAGTGGCTGACGTTCTGCTCAGCGCCGTTTGTTTGGAGCAAGTAGACCGCACGCAGGAGATTCGCGAACTGCGGTGCTTGCACGTTTTCCACCGGGAATGCTTGGAGAAGTGGTTCTTGGGGGACCACTTCAATTGCCCGCTGTGTCACCGGGCATATTATGTGGCCGAGACACCTCCCCGCAACGATTATCTGTGGATGGTATGACCAGATACCAGCCAGCGATTGGACGGGAGTAATTCAATAACGACGTGATGAATGGATCTTTTAGCCCTGCATGATCTTCACGATAATATGATGATGTTTAAGCAAAGCCCTCGGTAAGAGGCATATAATCGGTGTTGAAGTCCCAGATCGTATTGTAGTTCGACCAATTCAGGAAGTCGTCGAGTCCTGTTGTAACATCGTCCACCACATGCTGCTGCACAGGCTCTGGATCGAGTAACTGGTCAAGGATGCGAGACAGCTTTTTCTCGGCTTCTTTGCAGGTGTGGTGGTTGCCGTGGCCGGGGCCTGCAACCCACGATAGGAAAGAAATAAACACGCTGAGGTTGCGGATCAGCTCAGCGCGCGGGAGAGGAACGGCGTGTGGAGCGGGCTCATGTGATTGGCGTAGGAGTTCAAGGAGAAGGACGCTGGCGGAAGGCACACCGTACGTCAGGACCTGCATTTATTAGTAAATATTTCTCTTCCACTCATGAATGGCAACCGTGGCGACATACGATCCAAGAAAAGTGCCGGTCTAGATCGACCATTGGAGTTCTGAACGAATTAACCTGAATGACAATGGCTAGCACCCGACGAGATATGTCGCAAAGCTCCGCTTGTCCGGTGTTCGTGTGCTTGGAAACTGCTCGATAGAGCAAAAAGCAAGTGTATAGATAGTCCAAATAGAGATAGACAATGGTAAAGCACCCATCATTCAAATGAGGGTTCGATCGCCGGTCATATCGAAGCTGGTCCGGAGCTGATTGCCATATGGCGCGTGATTTCGCTTGGATCTCTCTGTTATAAAATCATGTCAGCACTAAGAAAACACGTGAATCGGACGGGAAGATATGCTTACTCGGACTTCTGGATTAGATTGTGTTGCTCGCGAGTCCCTAGTACTACCTCAAGAGTCTCTTCCCGGATGATAGCCAGATGGTAGCGTAGGCGAGGTGAGGTTACTGGGTGTAACTTCCCTTCACTATTCCATCCGGCGCTGTCTAGCTCCGAAATGGCTTTGCTGAGAACATCTCCACCTGCAACCAGAACTTCGTCGCTCAGGTCCAAGGGAGCAGCGAGTGTGCAGAATCGACCATTCATCAGTGGCGGTCGCCCAACAAATGTTGCTATCATTTTATCCATGTAGAAGGCACCAACAAAGCAGCGTCTCCGCCACTGGCGAAGAAAGAATGGGCAATTCTCAGCCCCATTAGTCTCTAAGTGTAGCCCAGCTGCATAAATCGTGGATACCAGGTCACCCAATCGCCGCCATGCTTGATAGCCTGACAGGTGGTCAGTAAATCGATAGGATGAGATCATACAGAAAGGGAAAGTCTTACTGGAATCACCATATTGTTGTGTTCGCAACATAGCATCATTATACTGTAACATTGCCAGTAATTCATTTGCCGACGATGCCTGATCACAGAAACCGAGGCATACTGTACTTATCACAGTCACTTGTTCTAGTAACTGGTCTTTTGTTCGAGGGTCATCCGAGCCCTGCGTAATGTCAGGGTCGCTGTCTGGCGTAATGACCAATTGCATTCCGCAAAGAGCGAAAATAGACCCAAGGGCTTCCCATCGGAGGTTGCGACCGGTGAAAGAGGAACAGTACTCCTCCACCGACATAGACTTGTGAGTCCGCATGGGCCGGGAGGTATTTTGAAATATCTGATTCGCCAACTCTTGCAGTTGTGCCGTTGGATCACCGGAGAAACCGGCGAAGATTTGGCGCACCGAGCGCAGAAGTTCGTCCATTACGATTTTGGGCACGATGATGTTCAATGTCCGAACGTAGTATCGTGCAATCAACATTTCATACACAGTGAGATTGTACAAAAACTGAAGTACATCAACCCCAGATTGGAGTCGATCGGGTTCCACCACTAACCCCGCGGAGGAATCTGTGCTCTCTTCAGCCTCGAACGAAATCTCACTGCGATGCTCAGTTAAGACCGCGGAGTAGCTTGTTGAGCCCAGATATCCCGGGAGAGCCGAGGGTGGTTCCAATGGCGCGAATAAGCAGCCATTCCCCAGTAAACCTGAGCTCAAGCTAGAAGCACTGTTTCTACATATTAGTATGGGCCTATCATCCGTTGCAGGAGATGCTTACTTTGAGGTTGGTTGACTGGTCAGTCGACTAGAAACTATCGTAGGATTGACTGGATCAGAAGGCCTCCGCCTAGTCATCGGAGCTGGATGATAAAAACATTTATCGCTGATTCTTTTTGCGGTGCATCGGCGACAGACCGGCCGGTCATGGTCGCATCGCTGTTTGGATCTCCGGCAGGGTTCACATGACTGTAAAGTGCCATTTTTGCGCGTTGCCGGCGATGCAGAACGCCGATCGTCGTTTCTCATGGCTCGAGAACCAAGGCATAGAGGCATACGATCAATGAGAGGAAGGGACCTCGGGAAAATTGATACCCGCGATGGTTGGCAGTTTGCTTCGTCCAAATTAGGTTTAGCGTGTTATATCTAGGAAATCCGAAGGATGAGAGAACAAGACGGTCAGTACATAAATTGGACAGCTATCGAAACTTGGGGATATATATTTACCTATTACTATCTATGTATTTTACTGGGGCTATATGTTCCATGTTAGAGAAGGCGCAACCGAATTTATATCAATCAGTAGGACCCTTTTTGACACGATATATACTACCTTTACTGACCTGCAATATCCTTTCTCATAAAAACCGTCTTTGTATCCCAAACCTTGCCAGTCTTATCCGCGACGCGATAATAGTTCTGGACGGTCTTGATCAATTGGTAACCTCGACGAGCATACCATTCCTCGTTCGTACTCTGGAAACGATAAGTTACTTGACCGAGGACATCAAACTGTACAATCAGACTTACCTTTGGAACACCACCATATGTTGCATTCGCAAATTCTTCTCTCTTCTGATCATCTTTCTGGACCGTGTCTAGCATCAATGTCTTGGCTAGTAGTGGTTCCCGGACTGCCATGGCCTCGACCTCATCCATTGCAGCTCGCCCAATTCCTTGGCCCTGGATGGACTGTCTGACGTAGAATGACTTTATCCAAAAGACGTTCTCGGCTGGCAGGTCAAACTCAATGTGCTCTGCATCAGGATTCTTGGAATCTAGTGAAATGTGACCAATGGGGATGAAGCTTTCTTTTGTCGGCTGGCGTGGGACAGCATTAATTGTTGTGGCTGTGTCTTGAAGCATTTCGTCTTCCTAGTAATTATATGTTAGCTACATATGTATTACTTATGCACTGTTGTCTTTTACTTTCGGCGATGTCGCTTGTGACTCATCTGATGGCGTGACCTTTCCACAAAATGTAAGCATATTCAACTCGTGGTTGTGTTGAATATAACGGAGTAAGATTCGACGGGACTCACAATCCAATATATGCACTTCTCGCCCTTGAGCTGTTGCTTCTTCCATTTTGGCTCAACCTTTTCCTGGTCCCAACTGCATTCGACTCGCTGCGACACGAGACGTTTCAGATGAAGGTCCGAGTTGGGATCCCAGGGAAACAAAGTCACTTTCGAACTTGGGCCCATTGTGATTCGAAGACACAATAGAGTATTATAAGTATAAGAGTATCGTAAGTATAAGAGTATTGTAAGTATAAGAGTTTGAGAGTTTCAATCTCTAAAAGCCCGAGGATCTTCCTGATGATTTATAAGCTGAAGTTATTATGGATTACCCAGGTAACGGAATCTAAAATCTAACCAATCCCAATCCTCCCGGTCAACAATTCATGCAGCGCAGGGTATTTCCCCCTGTCTCAATATAACACATGCGTCATTCATGGCCCCAACCTTAAAATCATTAAGCCAAAAATCATTCATCGTCGGCAGGCCACTCTCTGCTCAAGAGCTAAATATACCCAAAGATTGTTTTATCCTGCTTTCGGCACATTCTGCTCAGCCTCGTTTGTTGACCGCTTAGTTTCCTTCTCTAGCTCCGAGCTTACAGATGACTGAACGTTCCCACCTGCGGCTAGCTGTTGGTCGAGCCGAGCTTTTTCCTCGTCTGTGGCGCCGGTGAGGTTAACGGCAACCTCCTCGCCGAAGTTTTGGGCGATTTCCTCTAGGGTGAGGCCAGCAGTTTCGGGGAAGAACAAGTAGATGACTACGATTTTTGTTAGCGGGGATTGAATGACAGGTCGATCTTGATGTGATAGGGAAGGAAACGTACCCGGAATGAAGAATGCAGACCAGCAAATAATGACAAGATAGTATTTCCAACCAACGTTGCCGAAGCCCATGGGGGCAGTTTGCAGGAGGATGAGGGTGGCTACGTATGTCAGTTGGAATTTGGAGGCGAAATTGTAACGGACAACTTACAAGCAAATTGGCCGAAGAGAGAAAAGCCCATGCCAATTGGACGAATTTCGGTCGGGAAGATCTCCGAAACATAGAGGTACATAGTGGTGTCGCAGAAAGTACTGGAGGACTGTCAGCTTGACTTATACAGTGGTCTTGCCATGCGGATGCTTTACTCACCCCTGGAAGGCCAGATAAAGGTAGATGAAGAAGATACCGAATCCATTTCCGACCTTGTTGGTCGTACCAGCATACTCAGACGTCATAGCAGCCAGGCAGGACGTAGAGATGATAATTCCGACAAAGCCAATAATGTACATGGCACGCCGGGAGTTGACTTTATCATGGAGCCAGGCGCCTAGAGGGTTGTAGATCACACCTGAGCGAGGTTAGCAAATGAGGTAGATAGGAGTAGATCGTGGCTGTTTATCCTCACCAGCTGTTGTCAGCCAGACAGCACTCAAGAGCAGAGGCATGCCGCCCTCCATGCCCAAGTTTGTGTATAGAAGAACGGCATAGTTGTTCTAGCGATTGTCAGTGGAAACAAACTTCAGTTAGGTGTTGCCACACTCACGATGATCAAAGGTCCGCCAAATTCAGCGCCCCACTGGGTAAGGAAACCAATGGCCATTCGCTTTCGGTATGTTTTCCTTGTAAAGACAGCCTTCCACACGCTGCCATAAGTAGCCAACCTCTCAGCCTCGAGTTTGATTTGCTCTTTCGTCTGGAAGAATTCCTCCTTGGCAGCCAAATTGTTCGGGTCATCTGGTGATTCACGAAGCCGTTCAAGGACATGCTGCGCCTCATCAAACTTGCCCTTCGAAATCAACCAACGAGGCGAACGCGGGAGCCAAGGAGATCCCAGAAGCAGTACCAAGGCGGGCAGACATTGCAAGGCGAGAGGGAACCTCCAGCCAAACCCAGACAGAGTGCCTGTTGCATAGTAGCAAGCATAACCCACCCATCCTGAGAGCATATATCCAAAAACCAGGAAAATGGCGTGGTGGCCAACGAGCCAGCCGCGGCGGAGAGCACTGGACATCTCGGAAAGATACATAGGGCAGACGGTTACAAGGATACCGATTCCAAGACCGCAAATGAAGCGGCCCGCTTGGAACATACTGAAATTTGTTAGTGTCAGTCCAAATTTAAAGCGGGGGAAGTGCCATACGCCAGTGAATTAGAGCCGGCCTGAAGTGCTCCTCCGAATAGCGAAAAGAAGGCACCGAACTGGATGTTTGCCTTGCGGCCAAAGAAATCGCACGACCACATTATAAAAAGTGTACCCACAGCACCGCCAGCACTGAAAACGCCGTTTGCTGTCGAGATCGCAGGGGTAGTGGTACTCGCATATCCTGGTTCACCCTCAGCGGGCAGGCCGAAGTAGGCATACCATCCTGGCTGGCCGATTGTACTGGAGATAATGGAAGAGCAATATCCATATGTCTAGTCGTGTAAGCTTGGTAAATAGCTGCGATTTGGAAATATATGCGAGCTCACCATTGACCCAATAGCCACAAAAACAATAACCAGCCTGTTATAGGAACTGGTCTGAGACCCAAACCTACCCATGATGGTCTGTTGTAGATCTCACAACTCTCAATGAATTAAGGGTATATAGTAAAGGATGCCAGCACCAGGTTTGAAGAGAGAAATTTCAGCATGTTTGTAGCCGACAAGTAGGGGGGGTGGGCTCGTAGGGATGTATCCTGTGGAGCTGTGGCCCACTGAGCTGCATAAAGTTCTCAAGTACATGACTGGCGTGCCGATCAACGGCACAGGAATTTTCCAGCTTTTGAGTCCAGACTCAGAAACTGACAAATTCCAACACGTTAAAGTTAATGTCACTTGTTGAAGATAACACCCCCAACATGCTTTACGTATATTCCAATGGATGTTGTACTACTCGGTACTCCGTACAGCGGAGTCATTATAGTGTGGATCCGGTCCGAGGTTACGGAGTACAAATGTACCTATGGAGTCCACAAATTAATCTCTCCACTCAGCGTTGGAACGTCAAAAGGTCCTTGCGGTCCATGTTAGTTCATTGCACAAAGTTCTACTTCGTATTTAGCAAGAGACTCCGGAGTACGACTCCCCGGGCCCTACAAAGTATATACAATATACTTTTTGCTCACAAATCCGACCATCAGAAACAATAACAGAACAGCGATGGCCCAGTCACCTTTTGACACCCCGTTTGACGAGCTCCCGAATCCGAAACAGGTTTGGCTAGGAAAGCCAGGTAGCTATGAAGAGGGTCTGGGAAAACTAGCTATTCTTACCCCCGAAGTCGTCGCTGCGGCTTCTGCCAGTGAGATCAGATGTGGTCGACGCGTGACGATGGGATGGGAGATGACGAAACTGGATTTTCCTAATCTCAACCGTCAGCCATGTCACCATCAGATTGTGCCCCTTCTGGGAGGTGTGGCATTCGATGATATCTATACTATGAACCCACGTGAGTAGCGAGGAATTCTGCGTTCTCCCTTTCGTTTATTTTTTTTTTTAATTTTCCAAACAATATATTGATTGTCTGCCAGAGCAAAGTAGCCAGTGGGACGGCCTCCGCCATTTTTCTCAGACAGTGCCTGGTCAAACTGAACGTGTGTTCTACGGTGGAACAACCAGTGAAGAAATTAACGATCGCCAAAATGATCGAATTGGTCTCCAACATTGGGCCCGCGAGGGCATTGCAGGTACTCATCCCCTTCACATGAATCCCCTGATTTATCTCACACAGTTTTAATAGGACGTGGAGTATTGATTGACTACGCTACATGGGCCGAGAAGAAGGGTATTAAATACACCACCTTCTCGACCCACCAAGTGCGTTTTGCCGATATCCTCGAAATAGCCGAGGAGAACAACATCACGTTCAAAAAGGGTGATATTCTTTTCGTCCGTGTAGGAGTGACCAAGGAGTGGGACACGTCCATGACGGATGCCGAAAAACAAGCTTATTCGGATAACGCGAGCCCAGAGCATGCTGGAGTCGAGGCAACCACGGAAGTTCTCCGCTGGCTGTGGGACACCGGATTCGCCGCCATCGCTAGTGATGCGATCAGTTGGGAGGTGAGCAATAAGAAAAATAAACCCCAAAACTCAGCATGTGATAGTCGACCCGATCAGGGAAATGGACTGACAGACCCGCAGGTTTACCCACCACAATCCCCTGACATCTTCCTTCATGAATACGTGCTTGCTGGATGGGGAATGCCGATCGGTAAGTTGCCGGAACGATTCTCTCCGAGTTCCGCAGACCCATTATCTTGACTAACAACCGACAGGGGAACTATTCGATCTTGAAGCGCTGGCACGCACTTGCCAGGAACTCCAGCGGTGGAGCTTTTTCGTGGCATCCGTGCCTTTGAACATGCCTGGTGGAGTTTCCTCGCCTCCGAATGTGATGGCTATTTTCTAGGTCGAAATTGTCTGTAGAGCATGACGAACAGTACAATATACGGAATAACTAGTCATTGATAGGACCTGGTTGAAACTCTAGTATATAAACCTATTGACCCGCTATTGATTCTGGTGGTGCCACCCCGCTTCAAGTGTGTAGATGTCATGCTAGCCCCGCTAAATTGGACAGTATGGTACGATACTACAAAAGAAGGGATTGGGAGCAACGAGGGTAAGTCGGGGACGATCAACTGTCATGAATACTTGGTACGCTATGTTCTGGACTGTGGGCCGAAGGCTCGGGGCGAACGTACCAGCACGAAGGACGCAGGCCCCGCTTCAACATCGCTTAGCATCTCTCATGAATAATTAGATGCGACGCAATTACGTAGCAGAGATAAAAATATGATTACTATGGAGTATACTGGGTACTCAAATGTGGATTTGCCTCGTATTTCTGACTTCGGGTTTCCTTCGGGACCAGAATACCAAGAACTTACACAACTCTCCATCCTCCTGCACAGGACGGACCATTCGATCCACAATCTATATAAGTTCCACTTTTGTTGGCGAACCTGCATCTTCAGAATATGCCGTCGTGGGTCAAGAGTGGCTCGGGAAATCGTCGTGTGTGCAACCATGGTTGATGGCGCCGTTCGGGTCCACTTCCCGAACTCAATTCCAAGGCCAGAAATTAATTACCTGCCCAGGTGAATATCGTCAGAGAATAACCAACCAATTTTTATACATACATATACTTGAATTGAGCTTTAGACTCAATCTTAGCAATTTAAAATACATTATTACTATGACGATATGGAGGGCGAGTGGCAGATCCTGTATGTACAATAATCAATGTGTTATTAAATGACAGCATGGTACCTTAGGCAGTTTGAATGTATTTTGTGTTCAACTTCCCCACCGCGTGCCAGGGCTACGCATTGTGAACCATGTATACATAAAACGTATAGATAACTTACATCGTAGTGCCAAAGCAAGACAGCCCCCCCCCCCCCCAAAAAAAAAAAGTTTGGCAAGCAATACCGCCGAGAAACGGATTGTTGTCAAATGGATTGTACAGAGCACGGAGTATTCTTCGCGGACCTCGTGCATAATTAGCTCCGGCAGTTTGGTCCTGTTTATGGGCAGATAATAGGGCCCTGTTTTCTTTTCTTTTCTTTTTTTCCCCTTGTGTTTCAGGGGAGCCGATCGTGGGTGATCAATAGCCCGATTTCAACTATGTTGTATGCAGCTCGTAAAAGCATAACAGTTTAAAATTTTAAACAAGGATTTTGGAAGCCTATTTTCAGAACCTTCTATTTTCTAGGTTCTTGGCTGAAGAGGCCATTATCTTATTGTTTAAAAGACTGGGCTGCCTTGAAATGTCTGGTCACCGTTACTAAGTCTAGACTCACAGGAACCCGTGATGCATTCTATGTCGTTGTTAGAACGGGCTTCTGGGGATGCCTCCATTGATCGGAATGTGCAGAAATGGAACTATGCCTGCCAGTCACTATGTATCATTGGCATGACACTCTTCTTCGGTCTTCGTGTTTATACTCGGTTATTCATTCTCAGCGGATTCGGGAAGGAGGATTGTGAGAGAAATTTTTGGATGAAATTACACGGAACAGGCAAACGCTGACAGACTCAATAGGGACATGTACAGTTGCCTGGGTAGGACTACCACGTGGAAAGAGGGCAACACCGGCTAACAAAATATCTCGAACAGTTTCTCGGCGTCTGTTACTCAATCATTGCAATTCTCAGTATGTCTCTAGTTCTACAAGCCACGAGCTATATCTAACGCAAGGACAGTGGGTAATTATGGAGGAGGTTTACACTGGTCGGACGTCCTCGATGAGAACAAGGTTCCTTTCTTCAAGGTATGCAAAGCATTGGAACGATGAATTCTCCAAACTTCTGACTCTCTAGACTATATACGTGACAATGGTCATGTATGGACCAACAGCTTATCTCACAAAAGTGTGCCTCCTCTGGATCATGGCTCGCGTATTCAGTCCCTTCCGAAAATGCGTCATGTTCATTAAGATTTTTATGGGAGTCATGTTGGCCTACTACATCCCCGCTGTCATCGTCAAAATCCGAATCTGCAATCCCATCTCCAAGTTCTGGGACCAGGATATTGACGGCACATGTTTAGACCAGTCATCGATCATTATGGCTGATGCTGTCGTCAGTGTGGTCAGTGATCTGATCGTTCTCATCTTGCCATTGCCATTGACTCTGAGTCTGCAAATGTCTACAAAGAGAAAGATGCGGGTTATGGCTATTTTAGGAGCGGGCGGCCTGGCTGTCGCCGCCAGTATCATCCGCTTGGTACTTATTGTCTTCACCGGACAGTCGAAGGATGTTTCTCATGCCTTTATGAGAATCAATATGCTAGGGTAGGTCCCTCCCAGTCTACCCCTTCGACTAAACATTCTAACCGAGTGCTCCTTTCTAGTAACGCCGAAGTCTCCATTGGCATTATCTGCACCTGTCTCCCTTCCCTCTCGGCTTTCATCGTCCGCGTCTACCACGAATATTCCAGTAACAAAGCAACCCACGAGTCCGAGTACAAAATGAGCACAATGCGAAACCAGGGCGCATCGAGCCGAAGCAAGAATCAAATGAGCGTTTTGGCGGCAGACTCCGACGAGGATGTACTCATGTACAATGCACAGGGAAATCCGAAGATTGAGACAACCATCCACGGTAATAGTGAGCAAGGAGGTCCGGCGAAATTGTCACTTGGTGGCATAGGAGTGACCCGATCTGTTGATGTGTCAACCTCCATGGCGCCCCAATGATACAAATCACGATGTCAATAATGATAACACAAGCCTCCAGACATCAACTATAGATAGAGCTAGGCTTTGATATCTTTCATGTATATAATAATATATTCCTTTTCCTTTGTGAGAAATGTACGTATCTTGCCGGGTCATTGCAAACGGCCTAGAATCAATTAGGGCTGCCAGCTTGTCCTAGATATGCAGGCTACCGTAGAACACTGGCGATCTCCGTTGACCGCCATGGTCTAGAACTGTCTCATGTATAGTTCCAATATCAGATATTGCAGTACGGAGTACATAGCACACATAATAGTATTCCCAAAGCTGGCGTACCCACCTTCTATAGTGTTATATAGACACCTGCCTAATCGGGAAAATGCCCTTTTTTGATATTGTTTCTCTTTAAATAGATCACTCTCCCGACGTTATTTCACACGATATAATAATACATATTGCATATCACTGCGGAATCTTTTCGAGACAGGGATTAATTATTGGCATTGACCGCCATATCCACGGGGTCAATATTTCCACCCCCACCATCAAACAATTGACATATCATTTGTTTGCCACGGAACCCTGCATTTACTTTCTAGAGCATCGATAATTCTGCTCACCTCTCCCCTAGATCCCTATACTCCAAATGCCACCCATGTCTCTTTCACATCTTCCAGCTGAGCTCATCTACATAATTGTCAAGTTCCTCAAGGAAGCACGGTACCTCAACTCTTTGCCCCGAACATGCTAGCGCCTACACGTGCTTCTGAACAAAATCCTCTATCAAAATAGCGTCCGCTCATTACACGGGTTCCCGCTTGTATGGGCAGCAAAGCATAGCCCCGAAATAACTATCCCCCTCAATCCGTTTTGAGGGATTGAGGATCGACTTGACTGAGCCCGCACTGAAGCAACTGAGAATGGGAACCTGCATCTTCTACCCATTCTAGAGGATTATTACTGGGCAAAAAGATATCCATGCAAGTAGAAGAAGATTCCATTACAATATCAAGATGCTATTAGCAAATAAATCGGCTTCAATGATGCTGAAAAGACCCGCTCAAGGTATAGTTGAAAGAAGTGCTCTATGCGGAATGGAAAATATCCAGTCAAGATCAAGAGATCTTTCCGATCCTCTTTCTTCCAATATCCATCTTGGATTTCAATCTAGACATCTCGTTAGCAAATGGTCAAAACAAGTGGAAAAAAAGAGAAAAGGGCGTGGACGAACATATCAGCCTCCTCATCCGCCAACCTCAGCATATCATTCTGCACCTCGAGCTCCTCATTAATCTGCGTGCCGAGTTCCTTCTGTCGAATAATGATCTTCCTCAACTCATCCACGTTATCATCCTGACTCTGCATCATCTGTCTCTGCAACTGCAGCACACCGTCATTGTCAAGTTCGCGAGTCCGCTCAGTCTCTTTGCCAAGGACCCTGCCCGTCCGCGCTGGCGTTCTACGTCCACTAGACGCATCTCCAGCGCCATTCCCAGCATTGATCAAAGCTCCTTTATCTTGGATGGATGCGACAGTATGATCGAGACGGCTCTTGGTTGCCATAGCATGCAAGAGATCCTCCAGGCCGTCTTTTTCCTTGCGCGCATTAATGAGCAGGTCTTTTCGTCGGCGGATCTCGCCTCCACCAAGACTGGATGACGCCTGTGACTCGGAGCTCTTATCTCCGCGTCCTAGATTCTTCAGTCCATCGTCCAGAGTGGCGATCATTGTCCCCGCACGGACAAGACTGCCCTTCGCATGTGCGGAGCTTTCGTGTTGCTTCTGTGGAGTTGTCTCCTGGTCTCTGCGAGATAATTGTAGTCGTGCATCATGGAGGTGGTTTTTCATGTCGCGGTAGTAGTCGAGCCATAGCGTCGGGTCTGTGATGGGTGCGTTTGTGGCGGCGGGGTCGGTGATGGCGGCGTGGAGTCGAGTGGAGGTGTTTGTTGATCCTGTGCCCGTTGAAGCGACTGCGGTGGGCAGGTTGAGGAATGCACGCCACGCGGGCGAGGTGCGCCAGCGCCCATCGTCGGACTCGTTGATAGCGCGAAGGTAATTCTCTAGGCCGCGGCGGCGGTCTTCACGCAATCGTTCATTCGATACGGTTTTTGAAAACCAGGTTTTTGAAGGCAAGGGAGCTGGTGGAGGGGCATTCGTTTGGGAGATGAGGGTGCTGTGGAAGGTTGAGAAGTCCGAGTAGCGTTTGGGGACCGTGAAGGAGCGGAGCGGGAGGCGGAGGGTGATGTGGTAGACGGTGTAGGGCGGGGATGTGTTTGAGAGGGTGGTATTGGGGATGGCTATTTCAACGGTTGGCGCCATTTTGATTAGAATTGGAATGAAAGTATCATTATTCTCAAGAAGTTGGAGAAAACAAAGAGATGAGGAGCTGCCCAAGTGAGGTCCTCAAGGGCCGCATGACGCAAACCTTGGAAAGCTTAGACCAGGCTACTACATGTAGGCACGATATGCCGAATGATCACTACCACGTAGAACACAAGACATTGGCACGTTGTAACACGGAATTAATATTAAGTAAAAATGGGTATCTCATACATGCAAATCAAATCCATCTAATCCCATATCTCTCGTTCCTCCAACAGATCCCGCTGGCCGAAGAACTCACCAACCACTGTAATGATCATGTCGAGCAGCGCATGGGTCTGTATCGACCGATCGTCTTCTTCAATATCATCACATCTAGCAGGTGCCTCGACAGAGTCGGAATTGTTCTGCAGCCTAGCTTGCAAACGCGCCTTGGCAGCCTCCAAGTCGGATTCTTCGAGCGATGCATCAGCCATGCTAGAGTCATGTGCTTCCGCAGCCTCCGGCAATTCTTCCGGCTTGCTTTCCTCCTCACTCCTCACTGTAGGCTCCAGCTGAGTCTCTTCCTTAATCTCTTCCTCACCTTGAGCTGTAGGTTCCGGCTGAGTTCCCTGCCTAGTTGCTTCCTCATTTTGGACTGTAGAGCTCTGCTGAGCTTCTTCCTTGGTATTCTTCTCATCCTCAACGATATTACCCTGCTTAGTTTCCCCTCTTGGTGTGTCTGTCACAGAGTAATCGACGTCCTCCTCATAGTCGTCGTACTCTAGCTCTTGCACCTTGCGCAAAATCGTTGCAGCTCGTTTACCCAGACTGCGAACAACCCCTACCTCCCGAGTAGAAAGTTGCCCAACCTCGCGGCACTTCCCCAACAAGCCCCAAGCCCATGCTCCAATGCGCCGTACACGCTGGGTGTCGTCACCCCGCACAACATCAGACATCATCCGCGCCAGTATCTCCAGCACTTCTAACACGCTTTCCATGTCCATGCTTGCCAGTTGAACCATGCGTGGTTCGACTGTGACCAAAAGCCGGCGCCATGTTTTATGTGCAGATCCGGCCTTTCGGGGGAGACTGATTGGGTGGTCATCGTCGAGAGTGTCGATAGCACCAGCGGGTGGACTGCATCGTAGGGTCGATCGTAAGAGGATGAATCGATGTCGGAGAAGATTGTTGTAGGATCTTTGCGCATCGGGATAGAGTTCATCGAGCTTTGAAGGGGAATTTGCGGCCTTTTCTTCGTTCAGATCCTCCACAGGAGCAATATAGGCTTCGTCCTCGTAAAAGCCTGCTGGCAGGGGAGGGTCATTTGGTCCAAGTGGCTTCAGATCGCGCTGTGTGTCCGATACTATATTTGAGGGGTCTGTGGTCGGAGTAGTCGCGGAAAAAAGTACCGGTAGTGAGTTTGCTTCCGATCTACCCAGCAAAAATTAGTTCAACTTGAATATCGACGTGCGCGGAACTGGGAAAGTCTCTGCATCGTTTGGGCGAAAGCAGAGGCTCTTTAGATCCAAGATCAGACATACCGAACCATGCGTAAATATTCCAGTCCATCCTCCGGGTCATCGTACCGCAATTCATCACCTCCATCATCCAATCCCGGGAATGCGCTCTTCTGGCCATAGAGGGGATGCTGACGGGGACGCTCATAAGATGCCGTTGAAGATTCGTCATCGTCATCCTCATCATAAGATATCCGAGGACGTTTCGAGGAGGGGTTCGGCATGGTGGCTTTTCTCTTGTTGGGCATAGTGAGGTGAAGGTGGTTGCTCTGCATAATTGAAGGAGCTTGGGCCAATCTGCAGACCAGCTTAAAAGTCCTTGCAAAGAATATGGACTTCGCCACCTGTTTCCGTGACACGGTAGGAGACTCATACAATGGAAGAAGTTTATTTACTAGTTTAAGACTATATTTTCAATTTTATTCAGCTATCGAACCCCTACTCCTATTACTGAGCACGAAAGCCGGCCCTCAGTTTCCTACAAGCCTAAGGCGGTGTAGAATAATTGTTTATCGAAAGGCGGGGACCTGCATCTGCCGGAAAAAAGATAAGGATCGTCATCGGCCTATCTTTACATCTTCAATTATTGACTCTTCAATCGACCCCTCATGTCTTTTTTAATCACTTGCTCTCCACACTCTCTCCTTGGCTCATTTCTAACAGTCTCAATTGGCAGACCTTTCTGCTTGTCTTCTCAGTTAAGTGAAGAGAAAACCACACAATAATCCCGCTTCACTTGAGATGACCTGTGTGTTTGCCTCTCTCGGAAGCGGGTCTCTCTGTTGCCTCTTCGCCTCAATCTGATTGTCACGAAACATCACACATGTTATCTCGCACCCACCCGTGCTTTATGATGTCTATTTAAAAAATTATTGCCTGTTTGACTTGCCAAATGTCAAGGCTGACCGACTCCAAAGCAATGACTTCTCGCCAATTTGTTCACCTTCCTACAGAGGTGTTAATACTCATCGCCAAATTCATTTTTGATGATTGGTGTACTGAGTACCCAAGTTCTCAAGTAACACTTCAAAGGTTCTGTCTGGTATCTCGCCAGTGGTACTCTGTTGGCATTGAATTTCTCTACTACCGACCTCAGCTTGGCGAAAGGGAATAGCTTCTCGCTTTTCACGAACACCGTGTGCCCACCAATACGCTCCCGAAAACGAAACGTGGACCTGGGCTCGCTTGTTCATGACTTGAACCTCTCAGTATTGGTACATCACAGCTCCAATAGCCTAACGGCACGGCTTCTAGGTCGAGTGAAGAAGAACCTGAAGAGTTTTGCTGCTCCGAGGATATCTTTTTCGTGAGTAGATACTGGCTACCACAACATACCGTCAAGCCTTTAGCTAACTTCTCTCCACAGGATCAACAGCCTTGCCCCCTTAGCAAAATGCAAGGAGCTTTCCTATCTTTACCTTGGCTTGGTAGCTGAGCCAATTCCGTTTTACGCCCTGAAGAAAGCAATCAACAGCCTCGACAAACTGGAAATTCTCGAGCTTTCGCCTTCAATGTTTATTACAGACGACGGTTCCAGTGAAGACTGGCCATCCAATCTGAAATATCTCCGGGTTGGCGGGCGATTTGATGTCGAGAAAATGTCTTCCTTCAAGTGGCCCCCCAACTTGGTAGGGTTGACACTTCGAGGCTGCGAGGATCTTAACACGTCCGTTGTGGAAGAGATCCTTATGAATGAGCAGCTCCGCACCACCCTTACCGGATTGACCTTCCACCGTTTGAACCGCAAGATGTTTGAGGAGGGGCCATCTGAGATCGTATCCGCTCTCATTGCTTTGAAGTATCTACGGATACCCGTTGATCTGCTTGACGATTTATGCATTCTTCCTTCGTTTCATCAAGCTCCTCCAATGTCGATTCGTGAGCTAGAACTCACGGCACCATATGACGAGGATTTTTCCACGAAGATTGATACCGATGGTCTTTGCGAGGTTTTGAAAACGAATCTTTCTCGCGTGTGCTATCTTGGTATCAGTCCCGCATGTCTTGAGATAATACCTAAAACATCACACGCCAAAATTGACAATTGGGTATGGAAGAACATTGACAAGTGTCCGGAAGAGGAACTCGATTCTCTTTTTGACATGGGTCTCAATGTCATGGATCGGGAGCCACTTTGATAAGCGTTCATGCATTCTTGTGCAGTCTTATATACACATCTCTCCCTCTTGCATCAGCATTTTAAGGTCATATACCTTCAAGCAGCAATTTCCTGAGCGATGTACAATAGCGCAACCCATGAAACAGACTTGGTTGAAATGAGAGTACTAGGCGAATGAAAGACTCCGGGGCGTCCAGCCTACTCTAATGGTTCCAGGTTGCTCCAGGTCAGCAGCCTTGGATAGAGACTCGAGGAATGTGGAGAAATAATCGCAGGTATACGTTGTATGTCTTGTATAAATAACGATGCAATGATAGCCAAAATGCTACCTAAGCTGTGATTTGATTGTATAGTATTTGATTCCATAAAGCCGATGGGAGTTGTAGGAGTGGGGAAATCTGGAAATTCCAAAGATCCCGCCCGGGAATGACGTACATTTCCTTAACACATTCCCCAGGACCACTACCACAATGAGATCGCAAACCCTGTGGCGGTCATTTGGCCTATTACAGCGTCATACACTCTCTCCTCGTAAAAGTATCGTCCGGGCTATCCAAACAGCTAGTTCTCGACCAGTCCCCAACTTCGCATTTGCATTTGAGTGAGTCTTGATCAAACGCACCCCATTCGATTCTCTTCTCACATGATGCAGCATCGATGGTGTCCTCCTCCGCGCCTCGAAACCTATACCCGGTGCCGCCGACTCGCTGGCTCTCCTGAAGGAGCAAGGCATCCCCTTTCTTCTGCTCACCAACGGCGGCGGTAAACACGAGACGGAGCGTGTCGCGGAAATTAGCGAGAAACTAGGGATCCCCTTGGATGCTACGGACATCGTGCAGAGTCACTCGCCTTTTGCTGAGTTGGTCAAGGGATGGGACGAAACGAGCGCTCTGGAACACAAGTGTGTGTTAGTGGCCGGAGGCGATGGGGATAACTGTCGGCGCGTGGCAGAACAGTATGTCCAGACCCCCCTTCCTGTTGCTGAATGGCATATGCTAAGCAATAGGGTGATAGGTATGGGTTTAAGAATGTTGTCACCCCCGCGGATATTCTCATGGCCAACCCTACTGTCTGGCCGTTTTCGAAGAACTTCAGCGACTATTATAAAACATTTGCCCGACCGCTCCCGAGCCCCATTGACCTCAATGATCCATCGAGGACTTTGAAAATCGACGCCATCTTTGTTTTCAATGACCCCCGAGATTGGGCATTGGACACTCAGGTTATTATGGATCTCCTCCTCTCCTCGCAGGGCCGTATGGGCACTTTTTCTGAAAAGAACGGCCGAATCGACCTTCCCAACCATGGGTACCAGCAGGATAGCCAGCCCCATCTGTACTTCTCTAACCCAGATCTGTGGTGGGCCGCCGCCTACCCCTTGCCCCGTCTTGGTCAGGGTGCATTCCGGGAAGCTCTTGAGGGTGTCTGGGCTGCGACTACAGGTGGTTCCAGCAAGGGTATTGAGTTGAAGAAGACCGTGATTGGCAAACCTCATCAACCCACCTACGAGTTTGCGGAGCGTCAATTGCTTCGGAACCGACTGCGAACCTTTGGAAGCTCTGCAGAGAACACGCCCCTGGAAAGAGTATACATGGTCGGTGATAATCCAGAGTCGGATATTCGAGGAGCCAACTCCTATCGCAGTGAAATTGGCAGTAGCTGGCACTCGATCCTTGTCCGCACTGGGGTATACAGTGGCGGGAGAGCCTACTTGGGTTCCTCAGACAATTGCTGATAATGTGCACAAAGGTGTTCAATGGGCGCTGAAGAGCTCGAACTGGCCTGCTCCATGATTGTCAAGAGACACGAGACACTCTATACTGGTGAAGATCAGCATGATACGGTGTTAATTGTATGTTTATGTGTGTTTACTCTAAATAGATAATAGCGTTAAGCCACATAAGCGCGCCTAATGCATTTTACTGAAACTGTAAAGTAATACCAAGTGGACATGTAACTGATCTACAAGCTTGTATACACTCAGGCTGGTAGAGAATATATGTGCCAAAGTCCCCACACCGCCTACCCCTCTTAGGGCCTTGATCATTCGGCGGGGTGAGTCAACGGAACACTTTTCTCTGCAGCTCTACTTACAATCAGCCTGCTGCATTAAGTCCTGCAAATTTCTCAGGATAGAAAATCATTGAGGTAGGATCCACTGCCCCGACTCACCACTTTGCCCCTCTAATTGTCCTTGCAGCACCATGGCCGACTCCGAATTGCCCCACCGTCCCAAGCCCGAGGCCCAGGATGCCTCCGCTCCCGCCGCGGAAGGTGAGACCAAGAACGCCAGCAAGAACGCCCTGAAGAAGGCGGCAAAGGATAAGGCCAAGGCCGAGAAGGCTGCTGCGCGTGCGGCGCAAGAAAAAGCCCAGGCCGCCGCCCAGGAGGCCAACGACACGGCCAAGGATCTATACGGGCCCCTCCCAGAGACCGAGGATGTCGTCCCGTCTACACGATTCAGTGAATTCTCAGAGGAACACTACGAGAAGGAAGTGACAGTTGTCGCGCGCGTTGACAATGCGCGTGTGCAGAGTGCCAAGCTTGCATTCTTGATGCTGCGCCAGCAGGGACAAAAGGTTCAGGCCGTCATTGCGGCCGCAGAGCCCATCTCGCGACAGATGATCAAGTACACCGGCGGTTTGAACGTCAACTCGATTGTGCAGGTTACCGGTATTGTGAAGAAGCCCGAGATCCCGATTTCGTCCGCGTCCATCAGTCACCTCGAGATCCACATTCGCAAGGTCTACATGATCTCCGAGGCTGCGCAGATGCTCCCCATGCAAGTCAAGGATGCTGAGCGCCCTCCCCCCGAGAACACTGAGGAAGGTGCCCAGGTTGATGCCGAGGGTGCTCCCATCGTCACCCTCAAGACCCGTCTCGACAACCGGGTCCTCGATCTGCAGACCGAGACCAGCCAGGCCATTACCTGGATTTCCAGCGGTGTTTCCGAGCTCTTCGCTGAGTACATGATTAAGAGTGGCTCTCGGTGGATCTCCACACCTAAGCTGGTCGGTGCCGCCACGGAAGGTGGTAGCGGTGTCTTCGAGGTGAAGTACTTCAAGCGCAATGCCTACTTGGCCCAGAGTCCCCAGCTCTACAAGCAGATGTGTATCGCCGGAGATATGGAGAACGTCTTCGAGATCGCCCCCGTGTTCCGTGCAGAGGACAGCAACACGCACCGCCACTTGACTGAGGTATGATCTACTGATATATTCGCTCAAACAGGAACAGAGAACAGATTATCTAACATGGCCTACAGTTCTCCGGTCTCGATTTCGAGAAGACCTTCCGCAGCCACTACCACGAGGTTCTGGAGTTCGCTGAAAACCTCCTCGTCTTCATCCTCACCCAGCTCAAGGAGCGCTACGCAACTCAGATCGCCACCATCCAGAAGTCCTACCCCAAGGCCGGCGACTTCAAGCTTCCCAAGGACGGCAAGGCCCTGCGCCTGAACTACATGGACGGAGTCGCCCTGTTGAAGGAAGCCGGCGTCGACGTCTCAGAGCAGGAGAGCTTCGAGAACGACTTCACCACCGCGATGGAGAAGCAGCTCGGCCAAATCATCCGCAACAAGTACGACACCGACTTCTACGTGCTCGACAAGTTCCCCATGGCTGTCCGTCCCTTCTACACCAAGGCTGATCCCAAGGACAAGCGCTTCTCTAACTCGTACGACTTCTTCATGCGTGGCGAGGAGATCATGTCCGGTGCCCAGCGTATTCACGATATCAAGGAACTGGAGGAGTCTATGCGCGCTAAGGGTCTTGAGCCTAACCAGGAGGGCTTCGAGGATTACCTCAATGCTTTCCGCCAGGGTTGCCCTCCTCACGCAGGTGGTGGTCTTGGTCTCAACCGTATTGTTATGTTCTTCCTTGGCTTGCCTAACGTCCGTTTGGCTTCGCTGTTCCCCCGTGACCCTCAGCGTCTCCGTCCTTGATTTTGCAATGTGGGACTATTCATAACATACAAGAAGCATATAAAACAAAATACTTTATTTCTTTTCAATTATATATACGTTTTTTTCTTATGGTAGTAATACCCCACTTGATTAATATAAAGCGAACTTCATGGAAGGTTGGAATCTTGTGAACTCTTAAAATAAACAACGACCCGGCAGCACTAATAATCGGGTTTGAGATCAATACGCCAGTTCCTGCTATATTGCGAAGAAAAACCAGAAACACCAAGAGTAGGCATAAATATGATATGATATTTGGATGAAAAGTTGCATTGACAAGTTTTGAGGGGTGGACGACGCAATCTAACGAACCAAGACACATGAAAAACACACACGCTCTTGTCCCCCCAACCAGGATTAAGCACGTAACGACAAAAAGGAAAGCAAAGAGAAAGATTAAGACACAGAAGCAATAACAGCCGCAGCAACGCCTCCTCCTCTGCCCGGACGGTGATCTTGGTAGTGACACCGGCCTTGCTGGAGTAGGCCATCTTGATGAGAGAAGCGACACGGCCGCCGGAGACAGTCTTGCCGAACAGCTTGAGCGTGTGTGTGCTGCTGTTGAGGGCGACGTCGGTGCCCTCGAGGGGCTGCAGAGATAGCGCTGAGATCAGTTGTTCCGTGGCATCTGTTATGAGTCAGTATAAGTATTCATAGTTGAGAAAGATAGATAGGATTTGTACGTACCGTTGATACCCTTCATGTTGCTGAGCTGTAGGGTTTCGCTTTCCTCCTCGCCGTTGGCACCGGTCTGTTCCCAGACGTGATCGAAGCTGCCGGCGAATGTCGGGATGACATAGTCGCTGCCTGTCAGCTCGAGGTCCTCTACCTGGTACTCGTCGTCGTAGCCGCTATCCTCTGGCTCGCCGCTTGCAGGGTCGATTTCTTTGCTGGTGAACTTGAGGACGTTTGTGAAGGAGGTGACGGGGACGCTGTTCTCGCCGGCGAGCTTCTTGAAAGCAACGTAGACAACACCAGGCTGGTCTGCGGCCAGCTTCGGGGCAGGAATGATGAAGTCGTCCTCCAATACGTCCTCTTCCTCGGGAGTGGCAACCACGGTAACATTCTCGAGAACGGTATCCGGAAGCGTGTTCTTAATATCATATTGCACCACGATGTGCTCCTTGAAAATGTGCTTGACGGCGGTAACAACATATTCGGTTTCGCTCTCGGAAAGCTCGACGGGTGCAGAGGACTTGAGTAAAGTACCGTATGCCTTGATATCGGGGTATTGCAGGAGTTGCTCTGCGTATTTCTGGGTGGCAGAGGCGCTGGCCGCTTCGGCCATACCGCCGGCCGCCGCGCCCTTCGGAGGACCGGCCGAAGGGGCCTTGAGAGTTGGTGTGGCAGAGGTAAGCTTCTTGGTCCTCTCTTCAGCCAGGGCCTGCTCATGTGAGACAACCGGAATGGTAGCAACATCGAAGGCAGCAGCGAAGGTCTCCTTGTCACCAGACGTCACGTACATGACGAGCTGGTGTTCAAACGTGGAAAGGGAATACATTGAGTCTAAAATCATTAGTAAATATACCATTGCCAGTTATGGACAAAATCTTACCGTTCTTAATGAAAGCGCTCGCGGACTCGTCCTCTTCGGCCATTAGACGCAGGTTAAGGGCAGCACGGTCTCGCACCTCGTCGTCGGTGTCATCAAGACAACGGGTGAGGAGAACGTGAACACTAGACTTGACTTCGGGGTCCTTCTGGCCAACACCAAACTTGGCCAGTGCAGTGACAGCAGCGGCGCGTACGATGGCGTTCTCCAATACGACACGGTTGTAGATGTAGCGGATATACTTGGTGGGGTGGGTGGTCTTAGGGCCCTCAGAACCAAGCAGGTGCAGGATTCTAACCGAGAGCTTGGTGAACTCGCAGTCCTCAATGAACTCGCAGAGATGGGCAAGCGCATCTTCCTTGCTTTCCGGGACGAACTTGATCAAATCGAACATGCTCTCAACAACAGTGCGCTTAAACTCGTAGCCACCCTCGTCCCGCAAGATGCCACTCAGGAAAACGAGCATACCAGCCTGCTTGCTGGGGAACTTCAAACACAAGGTGCGAATAGCCTCGACAATAGTGACCTTAAACTCGTCGGTGATATCGGCCATGAAGCCTGAGATTTGCTTCATCAGACGGTCAACGCTGGCTTCATTGCCGGTCTTAAGCAGCGTTGTAATGGCGAAGGTAGCAATAGAGCGGTTCGAGTTAGAGATGAGGGACTCCATATCGGGGTTGCAGACATTGACGACATGTGGCTTGAAAGAGGCGAAGTTGTGTAGGATACGGATGGCAGCGAACTTGGTGATCGAGCGGGGGGAGGACAGGAAGAGCTGGAGGACGTGAACTGCCTGGGTTGCCTCGGCATCGGTGACGTCGCGCATATCGCAAATAGCCTTGGCCGCCTCGAAGTTGACCATCTCATGCTTGTGGCGGAGCCAGCCATCCAACATCTGCATCATGGGTTTCCGGAGACCCTGGTCCTCCTCAGCCAATTTGGCCGCCAGGCGTACCAACAAAACCAGAGCAGCCGGGCTCTTCACCACACCTGCAGCACCGTACTGCTGTACCATCTTGACCAAAGACATACGATCGTGCGAGCGCATCTGGTACAAAAGACCGATGGCATGGTACTGTGTCATGAAATTCGAGTTGGAGATGGCGTGGCTCTGGGAGCTCGAGGAGAACCCAAGGAACCCGGTTGATGATTTCGATGACGAGGCGGCTTCCTGTGTTTCGCTCTGCCATCTCCGGACAACGTCGCGCGCAATGGGGAGGAGGTGGTAGGAAGAGACCAAGGCCGCGGAGGACACCGAGGGGGTCTTGTCAACAATGGCGGTCTTGATGAGTCGCTCGATACCCTGTACTGTGGAACCCTTTTGCAATTGTCAGCACATCCCCTCAACCATTGAAGCCCTCGCGACCGACGACCTACATCAATAATGCGGCAGAGCGCTCTGATGGCATTGGCCCGGTACAAAACATCGCTCCCAACTGCGGTGTCCTTCATAATGATACTTGTCGACATGATCACATCTTCGGCGGTGCCAGCCAGCTCCTTCAAGATCAGATACACCATCTGCCGCAATGACGGGTCTTTGTTCTGGAAGAGCTTGGAGATTCCGAAGAAGAGGGTAGTGGCTTCATTCGTAGGGAACTGCTCCCCGGTGAACATGAGGACAGCGATCTTGGTGAGTAACGTTCGGCATGTTCGCGGCGAGATAGGAGAGGAATTGAATAGGCGTGCTAGGGGGAATTGTCTCGTCAGCATTGAATATGTGCAGCGCATGGAAGCGCCAGGGGGTATTGTTGATTGCACACCATCTTGGAAAACGGAGGTCCGATCAAGCTTGATCATGACCTGGTCCTCATCTTCGTTTTTCTTCATGTAACTCATCTTGCCCAGCAGCTGGGATTGCACCAGCAATGAGTGGTTGCTGTCGTATTAGAAAGGTGGAGTTGGTGCAATTGGGACACGGGTCGAGTACACAGAAGCAGGGTAGGGCGGTGTAGGCGACTACAGCATTTGCATAACCACGCAAGAATTGAAGGCTTAAAGAGGGTAAATGGGAGGGGAACAAGAGAATATGATTGAGGTAAATGAGGTGGTAATGAATCTCGAACCCTCAAAGCTCAGAACTGCCAGCTATTGACAAGTTGAAGGTGGCCTTCCGTGTGTTTGGCCCGAACCAAACACTGCAAACAAGTGGCATCACGATATCGAAGGCACCTCCGACTCCCCTCATTTTCTCCATATTTCGCTTGAATTGAAATTGATCTATATATCTTTGATCATTTCAATTCATCATGCAGGTTGAAGTCGACCCCAAGGAGGATACCGAGTGGTAAGCCTATTACTTGCGCATACCCCCGCCGCCGGCAAGGTATAGCTGAATGCAGTCTGCTAACCATATTGTATAGGAACGATATCCTCCGTCAACATGGAATTATTCCCGAAAAGCCCAAAGACCCCGAACCTCTGATCCAAGAGGCTCTGATCGCCGCACAGCACAGAGCGCACGAGAACCGACTTGAAGACAAGGACCTTGACGAGCTGGACGCATTGGAGGAGGATGAAGATGAAGAGTTTCTCGAGAGTTATCGGTAGGCCTGTGATCTAATCATTTACCATGCCTAGATGGGTCTCCTTTCGCTCACGGTATCAATCAAACAGGCAAAAACGACTCGCCGAGCTCTCCACACTCCAAAAAACCAGCCTCTTCAACCAGGTCTTCCCACTTCAGAAAGTCGATTATGCCCGTGAGGTAACAGAGGCATCGAATAGTGCATATGTACTAGTCAACCTCACGTCGATGGGCGGAAACGTTGAATCGCGCGTGTTGACGGAGCTCTGGCGGCAGCTTGCTGCCAAATTCGGCGATATCAAGTTCTGTGAGATTCGTGCCGACATGTGCATCGAGGGATATCCGGAGAAGAACACGCCCACAATCTTGGCATACAAGGATACCGAGATCAAGAAGCAGCTTATTACACTCCAACAGTTGAAGGGTCCCAGGACCAAGCTTGAAGGTAAGTTCGGTCCAGGGCATGAGCGGAGTAAGGATGATATACTAATATAACGCATAGATCTTGAGGGTCTGCTCGTGGAAATTGGTGCTTTGAAGGAGAGTGATGTTCGTCTGAAGAAGCGTGATGACGAGGACGACTACAAGAAAGATGATGACCTGAACGTTGAAGATTATGATGATGACTGGGATTGATATCCTTGTTTCCTTGATTGAAAATTACTGCAAATATTATGATCTGGCTTGTGTGTATATTATGAAAATGTTCAGAAGATGATGACCCCCTTTCAATGTCGGCAGGAGCCAACATTGAAGAGAATGATGCTGTAAGGCGTAACGCGCTTGTCGGCCTCGATTTGAATTGAATTGCCTCCTACATCTACTATATCTATACCTGTAGTTGGTGGATTTGGCTACCTATATATGCACAGTTTCTTGACATGGATGGCCGGTCCGGGGTTCAAAATATCCAAGTCAATTTGCAGACTATGTAGGCATTCGACGCAACGTAAATAAAGAAGCCAAATGTCAAGTAGAAATAGCTCAGATGCTCCTAAGCACAACCAAATCACGTATATACCGAATTAACAACGTATCAGATGATATAATCGCTGTTCATCCTATTGATCCCATCAATCCCAACGCCAAAGAACATCAATCGTAACCGTATCAGTGGCAACCGGAGAAAACGGCGCCATAACATTTGAAATCATCAGATCAACTCATCACGACCAGCAGCCGCACTCTCCTCAATAGCCTGACGCACCTGACTCTCTTTAAAAGCAGGGCCCTGTCCATCACACTGCGACATACCCTTCAAACGCTCCGTGACATCGCCGATATCAAGCTGGCCGCGCTCAAACAGCTCGTGTTTCTGAATAAGGTCCCACGTAGCACGCGTATCCAGCAGCTTCTCGCCGCTTATCGGACACACGGTGAGACGGTGTTGCGGACTTCGAGGTGTGCCAGGGCCATCGGGCATGAAGGTGGTATGGAAGTCTGTGGGGAGAACTTCATTGGGCCCGTTACGGTTGGCTCGGGAGTGTGGTTTGCACTGGCATGTCCGTGGTTGGCGTGTAGTGTTGTCGCACGCAGGATTTCATTCTCGGTTGTGTACCGGGCCAGCTCGCGCTTGAGGCGCTCGTTGTCGGCTTGTAAGGTGTTGGATGCTTGTTCGAGGTTGTTTACTTTGTCTTCCAGGTCGCGGACGTGCTGTTCCTTGCGCTCCCGGAACGCCCGTTGACTATGTGACGAATAGGACCTGTTAGTGCTTTGTTGCTTCATGGGGATATATGTCTCTCTGGCCACTTTGATATATCACATACGCTGCTCGGTTCTGTGCCTTGCGCTTGCTTTGCGCGGGCGCTGATTCCTTTTCCTCGCTGCTACTCCTCCCTAAAGTTGGATCGGCGAATTGAGCCTCATCGCCCTCGAATGAGGTGGGGCGTGTATACTGATTGTTGGCAGCATCGCTGGAAGCAGAATGCTTGACCGATTCTGGCGGTGTATGTGGCGGTGGGACAAAGGAGGGGTCGACAGGGAACGAGGGGTCAAAGCCAGGGAGGTTTTGGTAATTATTCTAGCCTATTAGCGACATGCGACATGTTTTGAATGGACAAAGAACATACCAAAGGGGCGAATGTATCTGGTTGGGGATGGGGTTGGTCGGGGGTAGGCAGCCCGTATAGCGAAAAGCTGGAGGGCTGTGATCGGGGATCATAGAAAGAGTAATCCATTACGGAATATTAGACAGGTTCCCAAGGTCTTCAGGAATTGTCGGAAAGTTAGGAGGTGATGGTGGGAAAACTCTTTGAGGAAAATCTATTATCTCCAAATTTCATGTACCGGGGGGGCGTTCCGTTGTATGTACAGAATTCAATGTTGTCATGACACTCCGATACCATCCCAATTCAAGGTATACAACGTACTGGCAAGGTTTACATGTATCCATCCTCTCGAATGTCCATCAATTCCAGGAGTGTTCGGTACATGGGCCAAACTTTCGATGATCTCACCGTTTTTCTACTCTTTTGGGACCGCCAAGTACGGATATTCGTTCGAAGGGTCAAGTTCCAAGTCTGTTGAATGCCACAATTCCAGTTGGGACGAGAGTAAAATTGAAAGTGCAGTGTAGAGAGAGCTAAGAGAAATAACGTGATACAAATCGACGCATACCACCCCGGAAGCGACCCTAACCAATGTCCGTCGCCAACCACACCAGCTTCCCGCAAAGCGGGATTGCATTAGAGACCTCCTGTAACAGTAGTTTCTGCCATGTAGCTTGAGCAGAAACCCAGAAAGCCTGCAAAGCAATACTCCCGAAAACTGTCCCCGTCTCAGACCTCCCTTGGCCAGATCGGAGGCCACACCTCGTCCCCATTGAGCGTCGATAGTTCACAAATTAATCATCGTCAGGCAAACATAAAAAAAAGCAAAAGGAACAGGGGAAGATCAAGGGCAGAGAATAAACATCATGAGTGAAGGAAAGGGGTAAGCAATGATGGGCAGCGCATCCAAGGATGCATTCAAGGATCTCCAGTACCAGCATTAAACAATCCGATAAAAAAAAAATTTTGCGGGCTGACACCGTCATTTGCATCCCCCCTTACTCTTGCCCTCCGGCCATTCTGACCAAAGATGCCAGGTTGTAAAGAGGAACCAGAGGGCGAAGACGTAAGAATAAGCCGCAATATCAGAAGCGTTTCGAGACGTGTAATCGGTTGTCCCGCAGAACGGGTACAAAGATCCGAAAAGTCATAGAAAATAGTCGACTAAGGTTTCGCAGGCTCAGCACAAGATTGTCCACCCAACGGGAAAATGTTCCATGGGGCTGAATGCGAGCAAGCGATAAACAGAGGCGAATCGAAACGGCTGAGATCGAAATGATCGAAAACGGGATAGGAGGGCTGTCGGGGCAAATGAATAGAGATCCAAGAAGAAAAAAGACAAAGAAATATCCGAGAAGGCTGAGTGCGACATGGTCCGCTCTAAAGCGACATGAACGGGTCCCCGGTTTCTTAGTAGATAAGAATGTGAACAGACAGGAGGCACATGCTAAACAATAGCCTCGCCGTCGTGCAAACACGATTAGTACCACCCGTGAGCCTCCGCTCCTTCGTCCCGCTTCGAACGGCCGCCAGAAGGTCCATAACCCAAAGCAGCACCTTTCGAGGCAGAACGTAGCCTAACGCCGAAGACTATGCGATTAGTCAGATTCAGAACATAAGGGTCCTCCACGCCAGCGTCACGAAATGCAAATCACTCAACGTAGGAGTTAAGAAAGAAGGGGTTCCCTACTCGGAACCAGGTTTCATGTACTCACATCCTGTCACTACCTCCCACGGCACGGTTGGTGTCCGGAGTGTCGAGGGTGCCGCGTTCGACGACCTTACGACGCTGGCTGTTGATGGCACCGGGCTTGGCGGCGCCACTGGCTCCCATCTGGCCACCAGCAGGCAGAGCCTGGCGGCGCTGCTGATCCTCAGCATCCTTATCCTTCTTGGAAGCGTCCACGATCATGGCGGCGTTCTTCTGATACTTGTAAACGGTCCAGTCGAAGACGTAGTCGTACTGGAAGGACTCCCGGACGAAGAGGTCGCGGAAAATCTTGCGCAGGTAGGAGTAATCGGGCTTGTCGTCGAAGCGCAGCGAACGGGTGTAGTTCAGGTAAATGGCGAATTCATTGGGGAAACCGCGGCACAGAACCTCGGTGGGGGTGGTCATCTTCTTCTCCATAATGCGGTCGTACTTCTGCTTCTTCGTAGCGGCCTTCAGACCCTGCCAGGGGAGGGAACCACGGCAGAAGTAGAGCATGACATAACCCAGAGATTCCATGTCATCACGTCGGGACTGCTCGACACCGAGATGGGTGTTGATACTGGCGTAACGGGCAGTTCCAGTGAGGTTCTTGTTCTCACGGTAAGGGATGTGGAAGTGGGTCTTGGGGTCACGGTATTTCTTCGCAAGACCGAAATCAATTACGTTGACCTGGTTGCCACGCTTGCCAATGCCCATTAGGAAGTTGTCGGGCTTAATATCACGGTGGATGAAGGACTTGGCGTGGATGTATTCGATGCGGGAAATGAGCTGATCGGCGAGAAGTAGGACAGTCTTCAGGGAGAACTTGCGGTTGCAGAAGTTGAACAGGTCTTCCAGACTGGGTCCCAGAAGGTCGATGACCATAGCATTGTAATCACATTCGGTACCGAACCAACGAACGAAGGGAATACCGACACCACCGGCGAGCGACTTGTAGACACGGGCTTCATATTCCAGCTGGGGGTGCTTGGCCTTGACGCTCTCGAGCTTGATGGCAATCTCCTCACCGGAGATGATGTTCGTTCCTACAAGTAATGAGTTGCTGTGCAAGGGTAAAGCCAGAGTTGTCATTCCATACCGAGATAAATGTCGCCGAAGCTGCCACTGCCGATCTTACGGCCAATGCGGTACTTGTTACCGACTCGCAAATCCTGGAGGCAATGTCAGTAAAACGCGAGGTTCGGGCGGCTTATTGACCATCATGAAGTCATGGTATAATCTGAAGGTGTATTCAAGCCATTTAAGGTATGGCTCCGAGTAGAGAAAGAAGAAAAAGAAATCGGGGGTGGCTAACACTGACCATGGTCGTCATGTTGAACCGATGGGGGCACAGCGCTTAGCCGTTAGAAGGACTTGAGGCTAGAAGATGGAGAATATTAGTTTCGAATCTTGTAGATGAAGGCACAACGGTATGCAAAGGTGAGATCGATGGAGTATACAGGTAAGAGAGGCAGAGAGGAAGAGAGAGAAAGAAACAGGAAATCACCTGGGCAGTGAGAGGGGTTGACAACTAAGCCTCAGGCAATTTAGGAAGGCTGGGCCCAGCTCGACAGGAAACAAGAAACAGAAGCAGAAACAGAAACAGAAACACAACACACTCTCTTCTTTCAATATGATGCAATGAAGGCAAAGGAAATGTAACAGGAAACTGAAAGTCAAAAGGTGAAAAGCAGAACGAATCTAGACATACCTGATAACGAATCAAAGAGGTGCCGACCGTACTGAAATCAACCGGGAATATCCGGGAGATCCGGGAGATTGTCAAGAAAGTAAATATTAAATATCAAGGACAAAAGCCTTTTAAAGCAAAAAGCCTTCAAAGCAAAAGCCCTTTTTCAAGATATGAGGAGAAGAAGAAGGAGGGGGCAAGAGGTGAGTCGGTGAGAACACAAGGGTATTTTTTCCTGAAGGTCACGCCCGACCTCGGGTCTGTCATGGTATGGTAAGTTTGTGTATTGGGCATCTATGTTGTATGGACTTTTGGTTTATATTTTAACATCTACATATGTATGAATTGATATTAAATGTTATATAAAACATAAACATTTTTGAATCAATTGATATAGGAATAAATTCTAATAGATTCTTATATCTTCTTATGAAACTCCATATAATATCACCACTTAATCTTGGTATGCAATCCCTCAGCTGATCGGTATGTGATCAATGAAGACCTGCCGTGGACATCAAACCTATATAACTATGCTCTCAATATTGGTGTGATACCCAATTTTAGATGTATCTGAGTATATGACTCTCATTTGAATCATATACAATCACATTACCCCTTGCGAGACATTCTATCCGCAGTGGTCTTGCTTATTATGTATCCATCCATGGATGATCCTGAATCAACAATACCAGTTACTACACTATGCGCGATTTTCCTCAATGGGAAAGTCGCCTCAGTCTATTAGATCCAAACATGCAGTACGTGCAGTACCTATCATGCTTGCAACTGGTTACTGTGATGGAAATCAAAATTTATTGCTGTCGAGTATGTAGTTCTACGTATGCTGAAATGGCATCGCCGCGGAGTAAGCTTATACCTATCGAATCGGGCTGATGACAGGTCATCATTCCCACCTGGGTCTCGGAATTACTGAACTTCAGGATATCCTTGTCATAATGGTATTGGTCAAAGATGAAGAGCCTCCACAGGGCAACTAGAACGATTTTTGACTATGGATGAACAAGGAATCCGCGTGGAATATGCTAGTGGTACAGCCAGAGTCCAATGAACATCAGAAAACCGGGGTATAAAAAGGGCAGCCGGGGGGGTTAAAAACAAAATCAAGAAGGAGGGGGGGAAGGGAACAATTGAGCGCAATGGCGAAACAGAAAAGGTGTTATAACACCGTGCATCGGCGGAGAAGGAACACAGATGATAAAAGCACACATCATACATAGAAAAGAGAGTGGGAAAACAACGAGGAAAAAAAGGAACAAGTATTGCAAATACACGCGCAGAACGCTCAAACGGTGCAAATTGACATATCTTAGGGCACATGGTCGTAGAACAACAATGGAGGGCAAGATCTCTAGATCACGTTGGAGTGTTCGGGGTGTGCAGCTCCAGTGCTCAATGGCTTGGTTTGCACATCAAACCCAGCCCTGTCATCATCGTCCAGTCTCCTCCTCCATTCTGCCAAGCTGTCACTCATCAGTGCGGGTCCCTCACTAGCATCCTTGGTGGGAGTCCGATCCAGATCCAGCTGGCTGCTCAGACGGTAATTGCGGTTGGTGCTCTCCCAGTGAGTACGCAAAGCATCCAACTCGTTGGCAAGTGAGTCCAGAGCCATAGAACCACGATTATCAGGGAACGTGGAGTCCTGCGAGACATTGCTATCAGCTCGTGCCCGCCCATTGCCTCGGCTGATTGTGTTGCTAGAGGCGTTGCTGTGTGTGCGCGAGATTCCATTGGAACCTTGCACAAGGTGAGATTGACGGCGATAATGACCGACTGATGTTTGAACCTGCTCGAGAAGCATGTTGACCTTACGCTCTGCATCCGAAGCACGAGTTTCAAGGTGGGTATTTTCTTGCTTGAGCTGTTCCAGCTCAGAACGACTTTTCTCGGCAGCTGTGAGTAGCTCTTGCTTAAGACGTTCGTGTTCACTTCGCGACAACTCCTTCTCAGTCGTAGCCTGATCGAGATCCTGCTTGAGCTGCGTGATCTGGCTCTCAAGACTGCTGATAGATGATGAAGTTCGACTTTGAAGTTCGGACATCGACAGCTCGAGACGGGACCGTTCCGCGTCCCACTCAGCCGAAGAAGATGTCTGGCTGTCTGAATTCTCGAGGCTCTTCTGAGCCACATCCAATTCAGATTGCATTTTAGCATTTTGAGTCTTATACCGACTCAGCTCATCCTTCATCCGCTTCAACATCTTCTCAGTACCTTTCACGTAATGAACTGCTGACTGGTAATCATTCTCAAGCTGCTCAAGTTTCTCTCGGAAAGCTCGGTCGGCTTCCTGCTCGCGACTTTCGAAGCCGTTCTTCAGGTCGTCATGAGCCTTGATGCTAGCCGAGAGTTGTTGCTCAAGCTCGCGTAGTCGGCTTTGTTCCGGAGTGCCGAATCGTGACCCGGGGGATTCAAGCCGAGGGGACCGTCTGGCGTCGCTGTTCATGCCACGCTCACCAAGAAGATCCTTCAAAGCGGCGTGCTGAACCGCCAAAGCTCCAGCCTCTCGCTGGTGAGACTCAAGCTGTGTCTTCAAGTCCCGGTTATTTGTGGCGGCCGATTGGCTTTCCTTCATGGCAGTCTGAAGTTGTCGGCGCAATTGCAAGCCTTCACGGCTAGCCTGCTCCTGGTATGCTTCAAGGCCAGCAATGCGTTCCTCTGCACGCCGGAGTTTGTCCGAGGCTGCGTTGGCGGCTGCCTGGTTTGCCTTAGCTAGAGTGGTGGACCGCTCGATCTGGGCCTCCAAAGCGGCGACTCTCTGGTCAGCACGAGACCGGAACGGATTATCCAAGTCTGTAGAAGATGCGCGTTCGAGCCCAGATACGAAGGCAATCTTGTGGGTTTCCGCTTCCTTGGCGTGGATTTCTGCCAACTCCTCTGCATCTCGGAGGCGACGAGTAATGTTTTCCAGTTCAGTAGTACGTTCTTCGTGCTCCGATCGGAGCTGGAGAAGCTTTCTCTCCAGACCCTCGCGGCGCTCCCGCTCCTCTTGGAATTGCTTCTCAACGAGAGCTGTCTTTGCGGCTGAGGCAGAAACGGCCTCTCGAAGACCACCAAAGCTAGAATCAAAGTCCTTTAGACGGGTCGAGGAATCCTCAATCTGTGCCAGCAATTCTTCTTTGTCTAGGGTGAGTTGTTGAAGAGAGGCTTCTGCTTCTGCACGCAGGAAGGCCTCTTCTCTAGAGAGAGCCTCTGCTCGATGAAGCTCAGCGCGCAAGTTTTCTGCTTCTAGAGTATTACTTTGCATTTCAAGCTCTGCCAGGTGTTTCCGGGTTGCCTCGTTTGTCTCTTCGGCAAGTTCCTTGGCTTGACGCTCCTGCAAAAGCTCGGTGGTCTGCGCGTCCAATTTAGCTTTCAACTCAGACAGGGGAGGCTAAGGCGAGGGCAAGACGACGTCCCATGTCGGTAGGTCGCTCATCATCTCCATCCCGAGGAGCATCGGGCTGAGGGGTTCCCCGTTGACTACCACCATGGGCAGCGAGCTTGGCCCGGGAATATGCGGCTTCATTGATAGCCATATCGCGTTGATGTTCCACTTCAGCAACCCGTTTAGACGCGATGGCAGCCTGTCGATCCACAGTGGCCTGCATCTTGCTGAGGTCTGCCCTCATAGCCAAGAAGGCTTCAACCAGCGGACGATCCTCATCGCTCAGGGCCTCATTGGCCCGGTCGTCTAGCGCGGGGCTACTGGTTGCATTGGGAACGTAGCCACATTTTCTTGCGAGTGCGAGTTCTGAGGCATACCAGGCATTTCGGGCCTTGGTAACCTCCAGCTCCTTTATCAACGCCTCTTGGTGGGGTGTAAGTCGAGGAGACCGTGGCTCATCACCAAGAGTCTTGGAGTTGCGGAAGCTTCGAGATTCCATTGAGCCCTCGATGCTAGCCTGCCGACCGAGGATCGATTCCTCCCCACTGTCAACGGACCCGCGCTGTCGGTGAGAACGGAGCGACCGTTGTCGGCCTGGGGCGCTGATCAACGGGGCTGCCTCGCCGGCTTCCATAGCCTTGGCTGATGGCTTTTGGTGCTGTGTTGGAGTTCGGCGACCAGCTGATGGAGGTCCCTGGGAATCCTGTGGGCCTTCCTTCATGATTGGTGATTCCTCGCCACGCTCGTCGTTCGCTACGCGACTATCAGCAGTTGGTGTGTACCCGCGATCATTCTTGGTCGGGGTTTTGCTACGAGGGTTCGCACCAGCTGGAGGGCCATTGCCACGAGGGCCAGGAGACGGTGCTTGTCCAGGAGGCGGTGGACCAGCAGGAGCTTGAGCAATTGATGCCCGTGGCAGTCTAGACCCAGGTCCCAAATTTGGATTAGGGCCGAACTCCCCTGGTCTATTAGCAGCCGTGCCCTGTATCATGCTCTCACGCGATGGCGTTGGGCCCCGTCGCATTTGCTGTTCCGGGCCGGCATTCTGTGCCTCCCGAGATGAGCGCCCAGACGAGATACCCGGTTTATCAATACTTGTCTTTCTGGTCGCTGGGTCCGGAAGGCGTCCTCCGGGTTGCGAATCATTGGGGTACCGGATCTTGCTAGTATCAAGGATATAGGACATGCTAAGCTCCGCGGGGTCCCTAGGGGCCGAGCTCGGTTCACCCGCCATCACAATGATCTGCTTACCAAAAGCGGTCATGCTGTGACCAGATCGCGGGGAAGGCGCAGGGCCCATGTTTTGGAAGGAGTACCAACGTCGAGTCGAAATGCGGAAAGCTGACAGGTCTCCCAAGTCCACTCCTTCATCCGTGCGACCTCCGAACACGTACATCACATCGTTGACCAAAGCAGAGGCATGGCCTTCCCTAGGAGCCGGGATAAAACCAACGCAATCAATTTCGGTCCAGATGTTGGTAATGTGATCATAAGACCAAACATCATTGAACCACTGCACTCCGTTCGTACCTCCAAATAGGAATAGCTTCTCGTTGAAGCTGACAATCGTGTGGTTTGTTCTTGCTGGCGGAATTTGGCCTGGTGGAGGCCCACCTTCGTGACTGTTCTGGATCAGAACCTCCCATTTATTTGCCGGATTTTGAAGCTGGTTCAAGTCGAAAGCAATCAAATCATTGAAGAAGAAGCCCTCCACTTGGCCGCCGAAGACGTAAAGTTTAGAGCCTAGAATGTTCAATGTGTGGCCGTAACGCCCGGAAGGTCGAGAGCCGGGAGGGATAGCGCGGGACCATTGGCGGGAAGCTGAAAAAAACAAAGAGTCAGAGTCAAGGTAAACATGAATATACCGATACCACACTTACATGTGTTCAAAAGATATAGAGTGTCGTCCAGTGAGTCATTCTCGTCGATTTTGGTATCACCACCAAACACGATGAACGCATTCCCCACGAGCAAACTAGCATGACCGACTCGGGGGCCGGGGCCTTCGGATACTGTCGCAACCTGGAGACAGTTCAAGCCGCCGCCACTGCTTTCAATCATCCATAGATCACCCTTGACGGTTGATCCATCGATCAGGCCTCCCATCATATATATGTCTCCTTCCTTGGATGCCACCGAATTGATTGCTGCTCCATAGCGAGGAAACGGGTTCGTCTGGGGTGAAGAGAAGTTCAAACGGCGTTGCGACCATGGGTAAAGGGATGAATTTGGACTTGGAGGGGGAATCCCGTTAGGTGGTTGCTGGGGTCTTTGCATCTGTCGTAGATATTAGATTTCTCTCGTCAAAAAGGACGAATGGATCTCGAAACAGATACCCACCTGAGATTCCGATTCCGCTCTCTGCCGCGGCCGTACTGCGTCGGGACTTGCTGGGCTTGTGGCCGAGTGCAGAGAGTTGCTGAAGCTACCGCTTGGGGTTGGCGTCTGGGAAGTCGTGCCATCCCCCTTGACCCCATTCGCCATTATAGATCCAGTGGATGGAGTTCCCTCGGAGGTGTGGACATTTCTAGTCGCCGGGGGGAGTGCAGCCGGCTGCTGACTCTGCTGGTTCTTCTTCGATTTGAACAGAAACGCCATCGTGATTTATGTGGTCGTAGTCGGTCGTATCAGGGGATCTGGCGCAAAGCCAAGCTGCGCCGAGGTGCGGACTCGATCCGACACCCGAAAATCGAAGTAATGGCGTCGTCCCGAGAGATGAAGTGGAAAATCCGAAGAGATAGGGGGGTTGTCTATTTTAGAAGTGAAGTGGGAACCAGGAACCACTTGGAACCATAAAAACGTTCCATGCACAAGCCGCTCAGCGTTCCCCCAAAAAAAAAATGTGGGCAGGGGAGGCCTCTAAACAGAAGCATTCGCACTAGGGACTTGGAAAACAAATCAAAGCGGCTGAAGCCAAGGCAAGAAAGGGGGAGGTGGAAATGCGAAAGAGGAAAAGCGAAGATGGAAGAGATGGCCGTTTCAATTTCCCGGAGATGCTCTAAGTCGAACTAGTCTTAGTTTCATTGGACGTGCATACTCAGGGGCATATTAGTACTCAAATATTTAAAGATCACTATATTTTAATTCAATGCTTGTCTTCTACATATGGTCCTCCATACTGACATGGTACTATCTCCCTCATTCCTTTTTCCCAGTCTCTTTTCACCAGCCTCCAGGAACGGAGGGGGTTTTCACATTCCGTTATAGCATATCGACATGTCTTTAGCCTTAGTATTTCAGTATTTCAGAAGCAGAAAGTAAACAAAGAAAAAGGTTTCACAGCAATGTAAAGTCTTCAGAGTATTTTGATTCAAGGGTTACTCTGTAGTTGAAATACCATCCACAGGCTTGTTAACCCTAATTATCACACTATCACACCCCAAATTGCTATATGCCGCGGGTCCGAGGACTCGGCCACGGTGTGAACAACTGCAGGTCCAATGACAATTCATCCTAACACTGCATTCCCCAATTCCACACGGCGATCCATACCCCACAATGTGCAAGAAATACTGATTGATCACAGATTTAAGGCTGTACAACATTGTAAGGCATGTGGGATGAATGTCAACTCTCAAATACCTTACTAAAAAAAAGGGTAGAGCTTCCGGTTTGACGCTGATAGATCCAAGAGGAAAGGGGGTTCCCATCAAAATAATCCATCTATGGAGTACGGAGTAGACGATCTCTCGTTTTCCGGCTCCCGGGTTATTGTAGGGATGAACTTTTTGACACTGATGTACTTTTGCAGTATTCTATCATCATTGGCTCCATGCCATATATCTGAGCTTTTTGTTTGGTTTGCTATGTTGTATAAGAATCGACGTGTCAGAATTTTGGATGTCCATCCTTCCTGGGGTGAAACTTTTTGTATCCCCTAACTGCTGTCTTAGACATCACCAACCATAAAATGTCTCTCTTGGATCAAAGCAAATGCTCACAAAATATGCTGCTTAGAAAATAAATAGCTGACCAACAGTGGTTTCATCCCACTGGGCAGATGGACTTTCACTTTATACATACTCGGTGATGGCAACCAATGCCCATGCCCGCGTTGGACAACTCCATATCATTAGATTCTGTGATATTGATGTATAGAGTCCATATACAGGCATTTGAAACTGACTGCATGGGAATAAAGAGCTATTGACCATGTGCAAGTCATGATTGCCTCAGTGATATTGTAGATTGATACGTTTGAGGCTCACAATATATGCCGCATATAGTTTTGAGTGTATACTTCTCGCCAAGACATCATTCTGAGTAATCCCCGGAATATCTGTGTTTCCGCATCCATCTCGCCTTTCCGGACCACATCCGCTCTAGACCAGGCAGATTAGCTATCTTTGGACCAGAATCCATAGACTGTGCGCTGAGCTCTCTCTTTGCGCTCCTGGAATATCTCCAGGGCAGTCGCAATTTGAGATTAGTCTGGTCCACTACAAATCCGACTTCAAGGTCACCCTGACCATTTCATCATCGGTCTATTCCCCGGCTTCAGTCGACAACATCCAGACCCTTGCGAACGAACCTCACTGGTTGTGACCGGTGACCGAGCCGGGATACTCGCAGCCTGCCTCGACATACGTTCCAGCCCTTCCTCTTCCCCCATACTCGTGTAACACAATGAGCGATCTCACAACATGAGGGATCCCACTACCGATATGGAACCTAACTCACAACAAACGACCAACGGGTCGACAGCTTCACGTCGCAATCCGAATAAATCGGTCCGCGTGGCGTTTGGTCCTGAGTTAGAGACTACGATTCCCACCCGCGAAAGATCTCCAGCTCCGTTGACTGGCCATCATCGCTCACTCACAGAAGTTGAACACAAGCAGCCCACACTAACCCCACACGGGCGCCCAACCAGCTCATCGGGAGACAACACTGCCAATGGGGAGATCCCACCCCGCCGGCCATCGCCTCGGAGATCGGAGAGTAGCCGACCGGCTATGCTGAAGAGAGCCAGAAGTGACTATGGACCAAGTCGGATAACCTTCGATAAAGTGGCAGGTGATGACGATGAAGATTTCGCTATGCGACATGGGTGGCAGGAAGAATATACTTCTAGTGAATATCTCAAGATCTTGCATTCGGTGAGCACAACCACTCTGATCGTGAGTTTCCGGAAGCTAACACAATACCCGCTGAATATAGAACTTCTACATGTATTTCACCGAGAAACGCCATGAGACCAACGGTATTCCCAGGGACCCAGTTGGGAGTTGGCCAAGTCAGGACTGGCGCATGAAGGATCGCCTGAAAACTGTGTCTGCGGCTTTGGCCATCTGTCTGAACATTGGAGTCGACCCTCCCGATGTGGTCAAGACCAACCCAACATCGAAGCTTGAATGCTGGGTAGATCCGACTTCTACCACAGGCGGTGGTCAAAACAAGATCATGGAGCAGATCGGCAAGAAGCTACAGGAGCAATACGAGACTTTGAGTCTTCGGACAAGGTACAAACAGTATCTAGATCCATCAGTTGATGAGACCAAGAAATTCTGCATCTCACTTCGCCGAAATGCCAAGGACGAGCGGGTGCTTCTACATTACAATGGACATGGAGTGCCGTTGCCAACTCAGTCGGGTGAAATCTGGGTCTTCAACAAGAATTATACCCAGTATATACCTGTCCCACTGTATGATCTGCAGTCTTGGCTAGCTGGGCCTAGTCTTTTTGTCTTCGATGTTTCACATGCGGGCAACATTGTCCAAAATTTCCATACTTTCGTGGAGAAGCATGAGAAAGAGAATATTGAAACTAAGAAACGAGACCCAAATGCCGTCATTCAGAATTATGGTGACTGTATCCTCCTAGCTGCGTGCCAGAAGACGGAGTCCCTTCCGACCAATCCCGACCTACCTGCAGACCTATTCACCTGTTGCTTGACAACACCGATTGAAATTGCATTACGCTTCTTCATCTTGCAAAACCCTTTGCGCACGAACATTTCCATTGACGACTTCAGAGTTCCCGGTCGACTCCAAGATCGTCGAAGCCCTCTTGGGGAACTGAATTGGATCTTCACTGCAATTACCGATACAATTGCGTGGAACACCTTACCTCGGGCTTTGTTTAAAAAGCTCTTCCGACAGGATCTAATGGTCGCCGCTCTTTTCCGCAACTTTTTGCTCAGCGAACGCATCATGCGCACTTACAAATGCCATCCGATTTCTTCGCCCGAATTGCCGGACACACATCATCACCCTCTATGGAAAAGCTGGGACCTTGCAGTCGAAATGGTGTTATCTCAGCTACCTGCTCTCATTGATCAAGAAGAAGGACGTCGGCAATACGAGTACCAGCACTCGACGTTCTTCGCTGAGCAACTCACTGCTTTTGAGGTATACCTTTCGTCCGGTCCCATGGAGAAGAATCCACCTGATCAGCTTCCTATTGTCCTCCAAGTCCTCCTGAGTCAGGCACACCGTTTGCGGGCCTTGATTCTTTTGAGCAAATTCCTGGACCTCGGACCGTGGGCTGTCCACCTTGCACTCAGCATTGGCATATTCCCCTATGTTGTCAAGTTGCTGCAATCAGCAGCTCAGGAATTGAAACCAGTTATGGTTTTCATTTGGGCGAGAATCATGGCAGTCGACCACACAGTACAAAACGATCTACTCAAAGACAACGGCATCCACTACTTTATCTCGATTCTAAATCCTTCTTCGCCCATTCCTGTGGGAAACGCCAGCGAACATCGGGCCATGTGTGCTTTCATAGTCTCAATCTTCTGCAAAAACTATCCCCAGGGACAGAACGTCTGCCTCTCTGGCGAGTTGTTCGATTCATGCCTCAGACATCTAGGCGATGTGGAAAATCCCTTGCTACGACAGTGGTCTTGTCTGTGTCTCAGTATGCTCTGGTGCGATTTCCCCGAAGCGAAGTGGATGGGCATTCGATGTGCAGCCCCCGCTAGGCTCTGCGAGTTGAATTTCGATCCCGTACCCGAAGTTCGTGCTGCTATGCTTCACGCTGTGACTACATTCTTGGGGATTCCAGATCTGACAGACCAAGTTGCACAAATCGAGGAGACTTTGGCACTGGCGGTCCTGCCCATGTCTGCCGATGGAAGTGTGGTCGTTAGGAAGGAGCTTTTAGTATTCTTCTCGACATTCGTCAGACGCCACCAAAACAAGTTTTTGGTCGCAGCATTTGAGGAGCTTGAGGAAGAAAAGCGGGCCCTGTCCCATCGCTGGGAGAGCGAAAACTCTCGGACTAGTCGCTCCGAAGGACAGACCGGGGCGCTGGTTTCTCATGCGAAACACACCCAGCTGTCTCGCAACACGACTTTCGGAACTATCTGGAAGCAGCTGCTAGCTCTCTCAGTTGATCCTCATCCCGACATCGCCCAGGATGCCGCCGTTATCGTTGATTATATCCACTTGGCCTTGTTGGAATCTCCAATGGCGCCACTCGCTAACAAGCTTCAGAACGAGGTTCTGGAAATCACAGGCTTGACGAAATTCCAACCTCGCGAGCGAACTGAAGCAAAGAAGACTGCGCCACCTTCAACGCCTCCTTTATCGGGAGCAGCACCCTCGAAACAAGAAGGTTACCTTTCTTTGGGTTTTAGGCGAACTGCCAGCGT